AAACATCTTTTCTTGTACAAGCCCAGGAAGGCTGAGCAGAAGGTGAGGTCCTTGCACCAGAAGTTGTTCTGTGCTGCAGCCTGTGATGGAAAGAGGAGGTGACTGACAGTGGAGTGTAATGTAATGGAAAGAGCAACGAGGAGGGCCCAATGATAATAAGGCTATTTTGGATGTTAGTGTTTCAAAATGTCAAATACTTTTAATGTCTTTCTTGCCTTAGAAGTAAACCAGGAGCAGCAGATTTTGGAACAAGGACGCCAAAATTACTCCACTGGAAGTATTTGCCTAAGATTATTACGGGTGTAAGAAGCATAAATTTGCTTGGTTTTATCTGCCACCTATATATCAGTGTGGGATTTTAAAGTCAGTATGAACTTGATCCAATGTTACTAAGTAGACATTTACTGAGGGCCTTTTGCACAAGTTACCCGGAGGAAAAAAAAGGATCAAAACAAAATCTTCCCATTCTTTTAAGGAAAATTTATAATAATAAAAAATAAACCAGAGCTAGCTAGCCTGGATTTTGTAAAACCTCAGTGTAATCATCAAGCACATCATATGACTTGCTTATGCGGTTTTAACTTCATACTGGGAAATCATTTAGTGTCCATTTAGTGCTACAACAGCAATAAAGCTGTCCCTGCCATTAGTGTCTGCAGATACAACTCACATCTGAAAGTGTCTTTTGAAATTACCTCAGTAATCAGATAGCAGTTGTTTAAGATGCAGTGCGTACATAGGCATTTTGTGCAACTGATTTTAAGAGTCGCTGGACAGAAGAAGTCTGTAAAGGTTCACTGCACAGAGCAGGCTATAACAAAGCAGTTAATGATTCTTGTGACATGAATGCTGCCATTTCAGTTTATTTGAATGACACTGGCATTCTCTTAAATATATCACGTTTATTAGTTTTGGGGTTTTTTTGAAACCAACTAGATATTAGGCATGGATATGCATCTTAGCTAAACTATAACCTCACCAGCCTGTGCCTTTTCCACTGCAGAGCGCACAGAGGTTTTCAAAACATGTAACCACAGTGATATTTTTATAAAGGAATGTTCACCTCATGGGATTTTGTTAAGGTGTTCTATTTTTTTTCAAAGTTACAGCTTCACTTTATTGTACATGATGTCCAATAAAAAAGATATATGTCTGTGATTGGACTTTGAAAAAGGGCCATGGTGCCTATTCCATTTAAAGGGAATGAAGTCAAGCAGTAAATTTGCTGGTCGCCCTTTTCATATTGACTGTATCTCGGCCAGCAGTCGGTCTTTGATGTTGCAACAATAGAGCAAAGGCAGAGGAGGAGGAGGATTAGGACCTCCATAATATAAAAACAAGTCTGCATTCATCATGATTTTTATAGGGCGCACAGTCCAGGCCTATTGGAGGTTTGTAGTATAGACTCAGTCTGCAGAAGAGTGCAGCAATTTTAACATTTACAGGTGGTTTGCAATTCATCCATCCTTACAGTCTCTTCTTAATTTAGAGTTTGGGCTTTAAATATTTAACATTTTCTTACTCCTTCCTAGAATAAGAAAGCAGATGTATGTACAAATAGAGCTTCTGGAGAATCATTTTCCTTTACAGGGATTGATTGTAGTGAGATTTATGAAAGGCTAGCTGCAGCGTGCCTGTAGAGTATCTATTCCTTATCTTGTGCTTTAGAATCCAAGCTTTTAATGGGATAGAATAGAGTGGTTGATACAGATATGTTGAACATTTGTGGAAATATTTTTCAAAAGGGGACCTAGGATAGCCACACCATGCCCATGTCTTTAGATGTCCTGTAACAATAGCGCTGAAGGTTTCACACAAGCTATTTAACCTTAGAGTCCTGGTGCTTTTGATATGCATTTAAATGGGAGCAGTGCTAGCTCTTGCTCTTCATCAAGACATACAGAAGGAAAAGGGTCACCCATCTCATGAAAATGCATAAAGTACTAAATTGCACTAAATGCTGGTGAGAATAGGTAGCTTGGAAAGGGTGGGATAATCTGCAGTGGCTGTGCATGTAGTGCAGTGGGAGAATGGAGTGTTCCCAGTGATGCAGTGGTGGCAGCAGCAGTGAGCCCTGTGCAAGGGATCGCTGTCAGAAGTCCAAAGGCAGCTCTTAAGAGACCATCTGGAGATCTACCAAGTGAAATTGCTTTGCTGCACTCCAGTTCCATTGGCTTTTGCTTAAGGCGTGACCCTGCAGTGTCCTGATAAGGCAAAACACCTGGAAATTTCTCCATCAGACTTCAAGGACATCCAATCCAAAGAAAGGGAGGAGAAAAGATTCTGATCCTGTACATGACATCTTAGGACTTGATTTAGGGTTGGATCCTGTGCCTTATTGGAGGTTCAGATTGGACCTGTGAGTTCAAACTTGAGAACAAGTCACCGCTTTCCAGCTAAGCTGGAGTAGCCCTTTATATGCCTTATCCCTCCTTCATCCCACTACAAACATAAGGAGATTTACTTATCTGCAAGGCATGGTGCCTCCAGGCAGAGCTGAACTAACCAATCCTGCCCAGGGCAGCTGGGTGTTCAGCTGGGTGATTGCTGCCCCGGACAAAGCACTCCAAGGTATTGGTGAACACTAAATATACAGCTTTTCAGTAAGGAATCTGCTTTTTTATGTAACATCTACCGCAATGGCCATTAAAAAGTAACATCTGGTGCCGAAAATACACACATGGTATTTCTGTGCTCTGCTGAATGTCTCCTTCATCAGTGTCTAAGCTGTCTCTGCTTTCCCCAGTTTGCCAGCTGATGAAAGCAAACTACGTGGGGCTGAGCCACTATCAGGTGGGAGCTCTGGCAAGTTAGAAGCATCACTAGCATTTAAAAGAGTTTGCCCTTATGGGATCAATAGCTCTGAAAAAGCTGAAATCCGTCAGTGGCAGTGAATTTGATTCTTGTTCTTCTTTGATCTGACATTCATGGCTTTCTGAATCATGTAAGTCACAGCTGCCTTTCTCACCTGCTCCTCCCACTTTCTTCTCCTGTCTCCTAAAAGGATTGTTGTTTTCATATTTGTAAGAATACAGCTATTGCAGTCTTAACATCAAAATAAAATGAACTAATCAGTTGCATAGCAGAACAGCGAGGGTCTGTTTAGTATTGCCTCTCTGCTTTTCTCTTTTTTCTTTATTCCATTTAAGTCTTTCCACTAAAAAATAAAAAGAGATTGCAACTGAAATTGTGCATTTGCACACATGTAGAATAAGTAAGGAAAAGAGTATACCAATTCCCCAGTAAACACTGCTGCTGTTGGTAAAAAAAAAAAGCTACAGTTACATTGTAATCAGGTTATAAACCTTATAGTCTTCCCTTGACAATTATTGCAGTTCAGCTGTAAGAGCCATACGAGGAAAGAAGACGTTTGTTTATCTCTTTAGCACAGTTAAGTAGCTGGAAGGAAGTTCCGTGCCATAGCCAATGAGGAAATGCTCTTCCAACCTGCTCTGCAATGTATGTACTGTATACACTTCAGGCTCTCCATCTATGCAGAAGCAGCTCTTTCTCCCTGGGATCTGGGATCTTGTCTAGGATCACATCTCTGTTCCTCTAACAGAAGAGGACAGAACATTTCAAACCTGAACTGCTGATCTTTTCTACTTTGCTGCTACCTCTGGGCGCCAGGACTAATCAGAGGATGATTTGGGGCTGTTCCATACAGTTCACTGTCGATGGTTCCTGGGTGGCTTCAGTCCACAAGCAAGTTTGAAAAATAAAAATGCTTATTCCAAGAATAGCTTAGAACTAACTAGTGACTGCAGGGAAGAGGGGAGACAGAAATGAAGATATTTTCTTTTCACGTAAGTATCAGATTCAAAAGCATCTGCCTCGTTCAGTGTGTGTATGGTATTCATTTCCTGTCTGCAGTCTATTGGAATGCCCCCCGAGTCGTTTGAAATTGAAAATCAAGTCATACTTCTTTAATCAGCTCTAGGAAATAGCCTCCCTCCTTTACTATTCTCAGAAAATTTATATATACATGCATAGAATTTATAATATAAAAAGCCCACATTTCCCTCCAGGGTAGATGCTTTCTCTCCTCTTAAACAGAGAGAAGGGTCTTCATGTAGTCTTGGCATGGTGCGCTGCGTAGCTACTCGCCTGCTCTTCTTCCCCATCATGTCACTGGAGGGAGGCCTTTCTCTTGTGTATCTGCTTTCTCTTTTGCTGTCATGAGGGCAGTTCACAGAGATGTAGAAAGAGGGCATAATGTCCATTGATGATGACTTGATACAAAAATACAACCGCTATTGTGCCGCATATGCAGTTGCAATTTATGCTGATGACTTCCAGTTGCTCGTGTATCGCTCTCCAAAGCTTTCAGATGGAGAGCCTACAGCTGTACGTGCAGGCTTGAAACAGTGCTGTGCTGCTGGAGCAGAGATGTGTGCTATCCTGAGGCAGCTGCTCAGGTTTCTGCTGCTGTTTTTCTGTAAACTCCTGAGTGCAGTAACAACCCCTCGTAGAGAGTGTTGTGGGGCATACGTGTGGTGTGTAGATATTGAATCTAAACAAGCACTGCCTTTCCTCTGCCTTCACCCTCTAACTTGCATCAAAATGAAAAGTCAGCATTGGTGGGGAAAGCAGCTAGCGGTAGGTCAAGTAAATTATCCTGCAGTGATTCCTTGGTGTGTGCTTTAAGCACCAAGACTCTGGCGATTTACCTTTTTTCAGGCACAGGAGTATTGCCAGAAGCACAGGAAACTTCGTGTTTTTGGAATATAACACTTGTCTGTGTTCTTGCTTTCCTGTTATTGGCTTTTGCTTGTGTGATGAAGTCATCATGTAACTTTTGGTCCATGGGGACTAAACACTTTCTAGTCTCTAAAAACATCTGCCAGCTAACACAGCCGGACTCATAGACACTTCTGAGAGCATAGGGTGGATATTCAGTGGCATATGAGAAGGAGAGACAGAGGCTGAGAATAGCTGCTCCTTGGAAACTAACAGGTGAAGACAAATTTGAACATTGAAAAAGTCTCAAGTAAGGATATTCTTTTGGCTAGGGAAAGATGAAAACTTTACTTATTAAAGCTGGTTCACCTAGTGGAATCCTAGTCACAGTCATTTAGTGGAAGAAACTCACAAAAGGGCCTAGTTTGAAACCCGTGAAAATAATTTCAGATGTATGTTTGTTCACTTTCATTTCCACTGAGTTTGTGTGTGCTGGCCTGCAAAGTCTGACCAAAAAGTTGTACACAAAATTATTAATACTCTAGATTTCCATTGCTTTTGTGGTTTTGATTACAGCTTAAGGCAGATTTCCCCATTCTCCTGGAACTCTGTGTGTAAATCATGATACAGACTTGAAATGGTGACTTTTAAATTTAGCTATGACATAAATGGATTCTACTTAAAAGTACAGTATGCTACTGATTTTGTGCAAGGATTTAATAAAGTCTAAAAGAATTGGCATTTTCAAGGAATTTTCATTTCAGCATCACAGGTTATAGGAGTGAAATAGCTGGCTTACCCCTCAGTTGGGCATTCGCCTGTTCAGCTGCTCAGTGAGTCCTGTGTGGAGAGCTCCAGCCAAGTAGCGATTCCGGGGGAGATATTCAGGGTCACGAAGAACAGCTGAAAGTTTACAATCAATCAGTTTAGGCAACTGGAAGTATCTGTTAACTACAGGCAAAATGTGGCAGTGTTCATTGGTCAAAGCCCCAAACCATGTTAATTCTGTGTACTTGGCTGACCTGTCAAGGGCTGAGTATGTGCTGAAGAACAAACCATCAGTGTGCACTGTGTTAGACAATTTGCTAAAGGGCCTTTGTTTTTTTTCCTGCAGACATTGAATTGTAATCACCACCAAATCCATTTCATTATCAAAGTGTTTATACAAACTGACAGCTCTTCACTTCCAAGCTGAGCCACACTGTTGTGTTTTTCAGCTTAAGGAAAACATGAAATACAAGCAAACAACAGAGCACGAAAAATAACTGTGCTGTGAAATGTGTGTCCACAACATGTAGGAAGAATTTGGCAGATCTGAGTATAATACGGTTGGTTTTCTTCTTGAGACCTGAGGAGAACACTGCCTGCCAGAGCAGTTCAGATCTGGCCCCGGTGTTTACTGATGCTGTGGAAGAATGGTCTAGGACTTACTGAGCCTTGGAAGGGAAGGCGACCCCAATACTATGCCCTATGATCTCTGCAGTCATAAGTCTGGGTCATGTGTTCAGTTCTCAAGATTTCTGTGGAACTAAGGGCTAGAACTTTCTAGTGTAAAAACTAAAATTGAAGAGCTGTGGTTCTGAGATGGATGTATCTACATGCTTTGAGTTGCTGTTTCTGCTGTAAGCAGCTCCTCAGAGCAATTTCTGTATATGGCAGAAAATCAGCACTGGTACCTTGGGTTTACACCCCAACATTGAATCTGCTCATAGGCGCTACTCCAGCAGTGGCTGTGGGTCATCATTTATGGTTTAGTAGCTTGTGGTAGGTTGGACTAGATGATCTTATACATTGTTTCCAACCTTGTGATTCTATGATTCTATGTCTCCTCTGAAGCTCTGCTGTCCTAATAACAACACTGTTCTCTATTTTTTATGGAGACAGTATTGCTCCTGAAGCCATGCAACCTCTGAAGCTCACGTGTCCCTGCAGTACCCTGTGGGATGTCTGTGTTTGGTAGTTTTAGCCACTTAGTCACACACAGGGGTCCTGCAAGTTTGAAAGAACAGGATACAATGTCATTATACTGTTTTTGCTGGACTAAACGCAGAGCTATTAAAAAAATAGACCATGCTGAACAGGACTGTTTTTTTTTTTTTTTAGCAACCATAATCAGTGGATTTATCTTCCTTGTACATAATGTTTAAAACAGATGCTCTATTTTGCAGCCACTTCCTGAAAACAATTGTGCACATGCAAGCCAGTGTAGTCCATTTTGAATGATTTATGAATAGTGATTATCTAGAAAGGGCTATTAATTACTGCATCAATTCATTTGTGGCTTTTTAAAGATAAGTTAGGTCCTTCACCACATTGATAAATGCGAACATGAAAGCATGCTTCGATGAAAATGAGAGAAGCTGAGTGGTTGATACGCCAAGCCTTCACTGTGACTTCTGGTGGTGGGAGCTGCCTGTGACTCATTAGAATAAATGCGAGTCACACAGGAATTAAATATGAGCATGAGTGGTCTGTCTGCTGTATAAGAAAGCCACAGCAGAGCTAAGAACAGAACGTGGATCTACTGACTGCCTGGACTGTATGTGCCATTAATGATAACATAGCTGTGCATCTCTGCTTTTCGGCAGCTCACTGCACTGCTTGCTCAGCCAGCACTGTCCTCACCCCTGCACCTGCTGGGCCTTGCGCCGCTCATACTCCTGATATACAAAATAAGTAGATTCACAGTAAGCAAAACCCAGGCATTACATCACCCAAGTTCATTACAGATCTTGGATCTGCAGAGGTGAAAGTCTCATGTAGTATCCCAGCATGTTTCTCAGCCTCCCCAGACGGATTAATTTTAAAGTGATCATTTAGCACTAACCTGGGAACACACGACAGCCTTCAAAATCAAAACAATCTGTTAAGGCAGGTGGGAAATGAAACCAGCCCTAATGGCAATAATGATTTTCTGTGAAGGCCCCAGGCTTCATTTTGTCTCTGATAGCAATATAATCTTTTATAGCGTCTGTGAAGTTTCCTAATAAATAAACGTTCCTTGTTGTTAGTGGTTGAAGATGCAGTACAGGTGCATCATGAAAGTGCACTGACAGACTGTTGGGTTCCAATTCAAGACCTCTTGTCAAGATCATTTTACAAGATATTTCAAAGGAGTATACAAGAAATAAAAAAAGCAGTGTAGCTGCAGCAAGGATTTGGTAATAGATTCCCTCGCTGTCTGGGAGTTGTTAGGCTTATAAGCTGCATCAGTTTTCCCAAATTCTTTCAGCTGCATCATTAGCAGTGCTTACAAATGTGCCCTCAGCTTGGAAGTGGGGAGGGATTGAAGGAAGGTGAGTATGAGAGAAGTACAAGAGAAAGAGCAGCTCCTCCAGAGTATTTTCTGTAGCTCCAGTTGCTCCTCCCTTATTCAGTCTCGGTTGTTTTTCCAAATCTGGAAACTAAAATAAGGAAGAGAGGAGGGAGATGAATTCTTCACCTGATGGAAAAAAATGGAGAGAATTTCTCTTGTCCCCTAGCTGAGTATTTTTAGAAGTTCCCATTTCTGTTTAACTTTCTATGGGAAGGAAATGGCGCGTCTCTCTGCAGCTCACGTCTAACATGACAAAGGAAGAAAATATAAGAAGGCAATGGACAGAGTTAAAATACCTGTTTGATTATCAAAAAGTTAAACTGCAGTAGGAAATTCTTCCTGCCTGCAGTGCTGTACACTGGTGATGCCTTGTACCCACCTGGATCACCAACATTTAGTTATACTCAAAAAAATGCCCATGAATTGTTCTTCCCTAGACACAAATGCATTGATATATGGGATTTTAAACCAGATCAGTGCGACTTCATCAAGTCTCACAGCAGTTGGTGGCAGAGATGGGAAAACAATACTCTGGGTCTGTTTTTACTTTCTTGTACATCACAATTCATCCTTCACACTCCACCCTGTAGAGTTTCTGTTGTGAAGGAGACAATATCACATTTTATCCCCATACTGTTTTTTCTAATATATTTTTACCATGCTCTCCATTTGCCATCCCTCCAGAGCCCACACCAGTCAGACATGGGGTACTGAGTTACTGCCTTCTCTTTTCCAATGATGAGTATGGCAAGGTATGTTATTGTGTAATGCAAACAGCGTGGCAGATTCTCTCTGTAGGGTTTATTCACTGCCTTGTCACATGGCTGTGAATAATGAGTTCCTGCCCTTCTATACTATCCACACAGAATACTCAGAAATCTTTAGCTGTTTTGTACTAGGGACTTCCTGATCCCATGGTGACAGCAGAACTGTAGCTGACAGCAATCACGAGTAACTCCTTAAAAGTCATCTTAATGAAAAGCTATGAATAATCCTGTTAAATGAAGGACAAAAAAACTAATTTATCTTAAGATATTTAGAGCAGATGCATCATTTGAGCAAGAAACCAATGATGTGCCTGATTTAGAAATGTCATAACTTCAAAGAAACTGAGTCAGAAGTTCAGAATGAAACGACATGGTTTCTAAAGCAAGGGAAGCAACTCTGCTTTCCCAAAAACAATTGGAAATAGAAATTGCGTACACCTAAAAATAAATACTGTGAAGTAAAAACATGTGAAATAACTTAGAAATAAGTAGGGAAGGATATCCCTTCACAGATTTTCATCAGTTAGCCTTGTAACACAAACACTGTTTTCTTCAGCAATCACGCTGTCACTGTGGCGAGGACAGCCTTCTCCTTGCTATGCAGACCTTGGGAGATCCTTTGCCTGAGGTAATGCAGGAAACCAGTGAGCCTGTAATCTGCTTGTCAGGTGCAGAACAAGCTCACTTTTTATCCATGGCAGCCTCTGCTATCTTCGTTCTAAAAATATGCATTTTTAGTAACACTGCACATCAGCTTAGACACAACACTAGGATTTACCTGTCTAAAACCAGACCTCCCATTCACTTTAATAACTGAGAAAAAATGGTCTTTTCCTCCTGGTACTGTGAGCAGATGATAGCTGAATCCGCAGCCAGTGACAGAACACGAGGGAGCAGCACAAAGCTGTGCCAGGGGAGGTTCAGACTGGATATGAGGAACAATTTCTTTACCACAAGGTGGTCAAACACCAGACCAGGCTTCTTAGAGAGGTGGTGGATGGCCCACACCTGTCAGTGTCAAGAGGCACTTAGACAATGCCATCAGTAATATGCTTTGACTTTTGGTTGGCCCTGAAGTGGTCAGGCAGTTGGGCTCAGTGATCTCCGTCGTTCCTTCCAGCTGAACCGTTCTGAAGTTGTTTCTCACTGACACTGCCATTAGAAACATATTACTAGTGCTGAACCAGGGTCTTCTTATGTCCACCCTGACCATGCAGAGTGGTCTGTCTTCTACCTCTGTGCAGCAGTCTTTGGTAAGGACAGTTACCACGTTCCCCCTCCAGTTTCCTTTTTAATGTTCAACAACCCCATCTCAATGAGCCTGTAATTAATGACAGCCCCTGCCCCAAGCAGCTTGGTAGTGGGCCCGATCAGCCTGATGTCATTACTTCACCATGACAATTTTCTAACTAACTCCATGTGATATTCCATCTGTCTGACACTATTAAAATCTTTTTATATAGTCCATATTATTGTAGTTGCTGAGCTCCCCGCAAACATCACAGGGAGGGAGGGAAGTGCTGTTATCCCCATCAAGGCACAGACAGACCGTGACCTAACAAGATCACACATGGAGCCTTATCAGAGAATTAACAGTTGGTCTCTAAAGTCCTTGGCCAGCTCTCCAGCAGTATGGGATGGTAACACACAGAATCAAGATGCTCCTGACTTTGTAAGCAAATAAGTATGAAACTATATGTGAGAAGTGCATTATTTTTTTTAACAAAATCTCACTTTATTTTTAATAAAGGCAAGATTATGTGCATGACACCTCAGAAATTAAGAAATTAAAAATACCACATTTTTTGGTTCCTTTTTGAAGTAATTTAATAACAGTGCAGTTACTCCTTTTTGATCAGGCAGAACAACAAACCATTTAATCCTCATGTGCCAAGTTTGAAAATAAGTTCTGTTGGTTAAGTATTAAGTTAAAGCTCAGGTGTATGGGTAAGGAACCTAAAGTTAGCTAAGTAGCCACTGGTTTTGTTTCCCAGAGCTTACTGTCATGTGATTTACTTTCTACTTTGTATTAAATAAGGTGTGTGCTAATGGATGGCCCACCAAAGACACATCTTGCCTGGTTTGCAGTGAAAAGCAGCATCCCTGGTTTAGCTTTCAGACAATACAGTTAGGAGCACATAGCTAATCCATGCCTATGAATGAATTTGGAATGAACTTTTGTTCACCAGCGCTGTTGACGGACGACTAATGGTCTTTTGGGACTTTCAGAGTGCAATCATTCTGATCACAAAAGTACTATGAACAGTTCAATACTACTAAATCTGACTCTGCACTTCTTTACAAATGCAATGCAGTGAAGGGGAGAGGAGAAATGCATTTACTTGAGATTTCACTTAGTCCCAGATTAACTCTTAAATCTTGGTTTATTTAAGTCCCTGAACATTTTTCCTGTGCATGTGCACAGATTTTATTGTAAAATCTCTTCAAAGGTCATTTTAGAGCATTCTGTGCAAATAAACAGAAAATAAAGGAAAAGGCATTGGAATTGCTGCCTATTTGAGACCTTAACAAAAGGTATGTTAGCTTAATTTGAGCCAGAGGAGCTGGATGGAGGTTGTGTTTAACCAGATACGCTGGCAAAAACATGCTTAAGAAGAGCCAGAACCACATGTGGCCACTCCACTTCAATTGTGCTTGTTTAAAAGATATGTCTTTAACATTTACCCTATCCATTCTTGCTGTCTCTTTATGAACTGAAAATAAAAGCTCCCCAGGCAGTCATACTAAGACCTCAAACCTAAAATTTTTCAGCTGAGTCAAAAGCAAAACCTATGTTCAATCAGCCCCATGCATTTTTTTTTGTAGCTGTAAGAAGATTTGACTTGTCTACCTCTTTTTTTTTTTTTTTTTTTTCCTCCCAAGTCCCCAGGCCAGTCCTAACCCAGGGAGTGTTTTGATACTGAATGTAGCTCCTTGGTGAGGTCAAAGGCAGTGACAGCAGTGCTACTGGTTCGAAGGCAGCCTGCTGTAATAAACTACATAACCCAGAAGTACGCTCAGCAATAACAAAAGCATTAACCGCTGACCCACAGCTTGATGAAATTCAATCCCACCATTAGGCAAACATGAAAATGAGATCCCAAAGGAAGGAAGGAAGGTTCAGATGTTCAAGACGAGAGAAATCGGGTGAGAAAGACAGACAGCTAGATGGAAGTTGTTGCAAACTAAGGAGAGAGAGAAGGAAGCTGCCAATTCAACACAGTAGGATCCTTTAATATAATGAATTTGAACTAAAACTTAATGAGGGTTTTGCTCCAATTTAGAACAGTGCAAACTGAAATGCTTTGTAGTAAAGATATCCTTCTACCATTTTAGGGACATAGAATCATAGAATCATTTGAGTTGGAAGGGACCTTTAAAGATCATCTAGTCCAATTCCCACACAATGAACGTGAACATTTACAGCTAGATCAGGCTTAATCTGATATAACTTGATTTCACAGAGCTTGCTTCAGTTGTTCATGTTTCCAGAACTGCTTTAAGTTAGATGCTTGTGTCAGTATGTTGATGTCACTTGCAGGCTAGAATGTTCCAGGAACCTAATAGAGCTAAGCACCCAAATCTGACTTAATTTTCTCGTGTCATATGGTTACAGATCCCCACTAGTGTAACTGAGTATATTTCAATGAGAATCAGGAGTCAAACTCATGAAACCTGAGACAATACATCATAAATCGTGTGCGTTTAAGAAACTAGCTGTGGGTCAGGATGCCATAAGAACTTCTGTCTGCACTCTGCAGTCATCATTAGCAGAAAGCTGGATGTGGGGATGCTGGCAGGACGGCACCTCTGCTGTTGTTATAGTGCGTTGCTTTTTTTCCCAGAACATGCTCACTGCAGATGACCATTCTCCTGAAGACAGCTTTAGCCTGAACCCCGAGGACAGAAGAGAATACCCCGATCTCCAGGCTGCCCACCGGCCATTCCCTAAGCAACGATTCAGGCAGGAAAATGGGCATACATCCTTACAAAGAGATGGACCTAGATCTTTTCTCCTGGATCTCCCAAACTTCCCTGACCTGTCAAAAGCAGATATCAACGGGCAGAATCCCAACATTCAGGTACAAATTTATGCTAACCTGTGACACTTTATGAAGCTACACAAGATCATTTTGCTGAATCAAGTGAACTTTCAGCTTGGCTTCTATGTCATGCAGTCAGAATACCCTGCCTCTCTACCAAAAAGAGATTGTATATACTCTTTGTCTTCAGTGAATGCATAGAATTCAATTTTTTTCTGAATTTCTCTTTGGAAATTGTTGATTGAATGTAGGTATCAATACAGACCTATCCATGATACTAAAGGCATCTCCGCTTTTGCATTTTAGAATATATTCTCTTCTTTGATATTAAATGGGTATTTTCAATTCTGCTTTCAACTCTCCACTCTAAAATTTGTTTATGAACAGATTCTCTTTTGGTATGCTATTATAAAGTGCAACCATTCTCAAATGTTGTAAGAGAATACACGTAGCAGAAATGCTAAGTCATGGCCTGCACCAGTGATTGAGCACTGGTGGGAAGACAGGGCCAACCCAGGGGAGCACAGGTGCATGCAATGAACCTGAGTGACTGGAAGGGCTAGAACTGGGATCCACCCCTTCCCAGACCTCATTTAAGGATTGGCAGTGGAAGTAAGGGTATCTTGCTGGAGTTCCCTCCTACTAGAGGTCTTCTAAAGGTAAGCAGTTTTTCTTTCTTTGTTTCTGCAGCTGCTGTATTTGGTTTTGTTCTCATTTTGCAGCCTAGGATTGCGCTACTTCACTACTATTGCTGTACTTTCCATCATGTTACAGCATTACAATAGGTCTTTAAGTTTCTTCTCAAAATGTGGTCCTCTGTATAGAACTACTGAGAATCAATTTCTGCAGCAGCTGAAAAACTGTAAAAGAAAAACTGTCTGCAAAAAACTTTGTTATATGTTATTCATCAAACTGTTCTTGGGTTTGGAATGGCCTCTTGCAAGCCATTTGCATCTTAAAACTTCAAGGCTTAGAAAGAGGAAAAAATGAGTGATTTGTTTTTAATTCAGAACCTTAAAGCAAAATTGGCGTTAATAAGAAGTCTTTTTTAACCAAAACAATAAATTGAAATGATGTTCTGCCTAAGATGTGCTTATAAAAACAATACGCTAATAGAACTAGCTTTCTGGCTAAATAAATTCCTGGCTTCTTGCAGTTCCCCAGCCCACAAAATTACCATTCCTTTTGATATGTCTAAGAAGTACATACATAAAGATATAATAGACCTATTCGTGAGAGAACAAGCTGTCTCAAAGTCAACACTCCATTACTTCATAGATGGCTCGCAACATTAAGAATTCTAACAGATTTGGATCAAGTGCCGGTCCAATACTTAACAGGCCAAGGTAGTAAACACGTTCAACATGTGGTGCCTGTACACATCCTTCTAGAAAGCCTCAGGAAGGGAAGGTAGGGAAGCTATAAGGGCCCAGATTGTGGGAGGAGGTAAACAGTGTAATGTCACTGTTTCAACAGTATGTAAACCACAGAGGAAACAAAAACCTTCTCTGATTTGTGACAGCACTTTATGTTTAGACTTAGGGAATGGATAGATGACTGGAGGATGGAAACATTTCCCTGGCTTGTCTTTACAGTAACTGCTTCTGCTATGACCTCTTTTTCCACCACCTGATGCTGGAAATGTGTCAGTCAGCTAAGTCAGCAGTTTTGCTGGACTCTGAGAACTGGAAAGCATTTTCCTGTAGACTGGAAAACATTGGGCAACACTAATCCCGGAGCTTTTTCTGACATGTAAGAATCAATTCTTTCAGAAATGGGCTGCCTATGTTCTGTATTATACTTAGCTTATTCAGGTGCATAAGTAGGGATGTGCAAATCTTCCTTAAGTTCCTAGCTGACAGTCCTGCAGCAGTTTAGGCCTTACAAAGATAAAAACTTCATTAATTCATTAAAAAATCATTTGTAGAAATGACTTTGAAGAAACTATTTCTTTGCCTGAATGTTGTAAAAGGTTGGTTTAC